AAGCCAAGACCACAGCCTCTTGCAAGACACCGGAAAACTCAGGCTTTTGTCCCAAGTCTTCTACGGCCTTACTGTTTGACCTCAAGCAGGCCCCTTCCTCTTCGGAGAGCCTCAGTCCCACCAGCTGTAAAATGGGGAGATGGCCCTGTCAAGACCTTTTCAGCTTCAGAGCCCGAGTCTAGAAACAGGTCCTGACAAACTTCACGGGGCCCTGGGATCGTGCTTCGGGAAGTTACATAAACATCCTCCAGAAAAACAAAAGTCAAACTTAAAGACTCTACTTTTTTTTTTTTTTGGATATCAAGAAGCCCTTTTTATAGTCCAACTTCCCCCTTCCTACTTCCATTGTTCCAAATATCCTCTGAGGACCGAGAAAATACATTTGGTTTCCGTCTGGGGTTTGGGCTTCTTGGCTCTCTTCCTCTTGGACGCTGCCCCACCCGCCTTGGCAGCCTTCTCCCCAGCACACACCCATCTCTGCCCCCCAAGCATTGCTCCGGGCCACCCTGAGGGCTCCAGCTACCCGGCCAAAGATGGGGGTGGGGAGCAGGGGCAGTTTTGGGGAAACAAGCCCTCTATGGTCTGAGCTCTGGGTTCTGGTCCCAATGTGACGCCATGTGTGGGCCTGTGTGGGCAAGTCCCTGCTCCTCCCTGGGCCTCAGTTTCCCGCTAGGAAGTGAAGAGGAACATTGTGTCAGGAAAGCCCTTGTGCTCCTGCGCAATACCTTGGCAGAAAGGAATAGCAGGGTAGACAGCGAGGGGGCTCTGATCTTGGCCCCACACCCTTCCTGCTAGAACCGAGAGATCCACTTTTTTCTCTTATTTTACCTCCTGCCCTCAGTGTGGGGCCTGGGACCCAGCACTGAGCCTCTCTGTGCTCAGACGGCCCATCCATAAGACAGGAAGAGGGCAGTGTCAGCAGAGGCCCAACCTGGAGGCTTGAGCCCTAACCACTCGACCCAATCCGCCAAGCCTGGCTCACTCATTTGATAGGAGGTATACACCCACCTCTTTAGAAAAGCAATCCCCACGGCCCTTTTCCCAATGGGATCATGCTTCGAAACACCCCTACAGAATCCTACAGAATCCCTCCATCTAACCCGATGGCTAGGCAGCCTCAGTAGTTTTATCTACAAATGGGGACAATACCAGCGCTTGCTTTATAGGATTATTCTGCGGATTACTCCAGATACGATTACATGGAAGTGCCTAACAAGCACTGATAAGCTCCCAGTAAATGTCAGTGGCAATTAGACGATCACCATCATTAAAATTATTGAGATGCCTAAAACCACTAGACTGGTGACGGCTAAGGCCCCTGGGCCCTCTCGTCTGGCCACTGTAACCACACACGCATGCTCACACCGCACACCCCCGCCCCCAGCACACAGCTGGGTCTGAAGCACGACCCACACTCTGCCCGACCAGCTCTGGCCCCGGCCCCAGAACACACCAGCTTGTCCCTGGCATCCATCCTTGCTCCTCACAAAACGCCCCCCACTTTCAAATCCCCTTCCTCACGTGGCCCTAGCACTGTCTCCGGTAATTCTGGGGATCACGGCATCACAAGATTGTTTGCTGGGGTCGGAAAGTTTCTACAAGATGGTGGCTCCTGAAGACAGAGTAGCAAGAAACCAGGCTTTCCTCTGGCTCCCCCACATTTGCTAGGTGTCTGAATATGTTTACAGCCCTAGGAGAGAAGCATCAAAAAAATTTTTAACAACTAACCAGTGTTTCTCCAACTTTAGTCGCATCAGAATTGCCTGGAGGTCTTAAAATAGGCTGCTGATCCTGGTCCTCCCTCTTCTCTCTCGTCGCCCCCTCTGCCCCCCCCCACATCTGTTTCTGATTCAGTAGGTCTGGGTGGGGCTGGATAATTTGCCTTTCTAACAAGTTTCCAGGTAATGCTGATGCAACTGGTCCAGAGACCAACTTTGAGAACCACTAACTTAACCTGCAGGTGAATCAGGGAGAGCTTCTGTGAAGAGGTGATGTGGACACTCCCACAAAAGCAGGAGCTGCCCGGGAGTAAGGAGGGGAGGAGGAGAAGCTGGGCAGAGGGTGCAGCACGAGTGAGGCCCGGCAATGACTGCATTCGTTTCTCCCCCGGCCTCTGCCTGGGCAGGCAGGGTGAACCAGAGGTGGCTGCAGCTGCGCAATGACTACAGCAAACCTTCACCGACCGCCACCCTGGACCTGCCCCGACAGGCCGATCCTTGGCCGGCCCAGGGGTGATGGGAATCCACGCCCCGCTTTGTGGAGCCAGACCTCAGGTCTGAACCAGGCCAGTCACCACCACGTCTCCACCACGTCCCAACCACGTGAGGGCCAGGATTCTGCCCCCACCTCCAGACAACCTGCCATCCTGGCTAGCTCTGCTGGTTCGTTTCCTCATTTCCTCATTTCTGGTGCCTCCTCTGGCTGGAGCAGCCCCTCAGAAACCAGCAGCCCCTGACAGTAACCCCCCAAGTCTGAACCCCTCCAGGCCGAGCTGTGCCCCTGGCTAAGACTTAGCTATCACATCTGCTAAAAGAGGATGACGCTGTGCCTCTCTCCTCCTGCTGTTGGAGGGAGAGAAAAGTGAGCTCCTCAGTCAATAACATCACCGTCAGTATAACCACCACCATAACTAAGCACCTTCCCGCGTTCTCTCTCTAGGCGCTGGGAAAGGGGGACAGTTATGGTCCCCTTTGTACTCGTGAAGAAACTAAACAGCTTGCCCCACATCCCTTAAGTAGGAAGTGGCCCAGCAGGGATTTGAACCCAGACTGGCCTCTGCTGCTGTCTGTGTCCTAGACCTAAGTCACCACCACCCTCTCCCCCTTCCTAGGGCACCGGGAGAGTGGGCAGGAGGCCTTTGGAGGCTCCGCCCTCAGTGCACACAGTCCGGGCCTCGGGTCCCTGGCTTGAGGGCAGCCCAGGCCTGCCAGCCAGGTCATCTTCTCTGGCACACTGTTTGAGACACCGTTCAACATGGCCTCCAGTCTGGGCTTACAGAACTTGAGCACCTTATCCTGAATGAAAGGAGAGAAGAGGAAAAACAGGTGTGACAAAGAGCAGAAATCCTGCCAGGCTTCCTGAGTAAGGCCAGCAGCTCCCATACCCCAGGCAGATTGCCCCATCTCTCCGGCCTCAGTTTCATCACCCAAACAAGCTTTGGGACAGAAAGTTCAGGAACTCAAACTCCTGGGAGCCTTCCCTTTATTTGGAAAGAACAGATCGCTTCCTAGATATAAACAAACAATATTAACAACCACTGTTATCTTTAACAGATCCTAGTACTGGGCCCTTATTGTGATCTGCTTGTCCTCCCTAGCAAAGCAGGATTTGAACCCAGGACTTTCTATTCCACTCTGCAATGCTGCCCACCTCTGCTGGGGCAGATATGGGCCACACCCAGCCCTTGCTGCCAGGGCACGGAGCCTAGGGAAGATGAGACATGTTCTTGAGGAACCAAATTCAAAGCCAGGTGTGTGAAGGGCCCGTGAGAGGGCCAGATAACAGGTTCTGCACACATAAAGCAGGAAGTGGGCAATGCCAGCTCTGCGGAGTCAGGAATGACTGCATGTAGAGGTGACACTGGAGCTGGGCACTGGTGGGAAGGATTTGGGGTGTTGAGGGGAAGTGACTAGGGTGCCACATCCCCGCTATTAGCAGGGATGTGGAGGTGGCAAGGGAAAGGGAGCACAGAGGGAGGGAGAGGAGGCAGCCAATGGGAGACAGGGCGCTTACCTAGCCAGCCACCTCCCATACCTTGCCTTCCAGTAAATATGATACACATTTTAAAATTCAATAATTCCAATCTATAGCTAAAAATAAAACAGGTAATAAAACAAAGGGTCAGGAAGCAACTTACTAACACAAACTAGTCTCCATCTAGAAGAGTACTTCATCCTCAATTTGACTCCTTTGATGACAGACAGACTAGCCTTGAGGCCACATGGTCCAAGACAATCATGTCCGCCCCTTCCACCAAGCTCCAAACCTCCCAAGATCAGCAGATCCTGCTTTAGCCTCTACTTCAGAGAAGGGGATTACCCTGCCCCCAACCCCTCCCACTCCTCACTTTCAAACCTTTCCTCCAACCCCTGCTGATTCAGCCTGATTCATGATTCAGCCTCATTTCCTCATATTTGAGGAAAGAGAAATTGAACCCATTTCACAGATTGGGAAATGGAAGAAAAAGGTCAGTCCTCTGTGAAACCAGCCTTGCCAGTGCAGGCTCCGGTGGCTGATCCACACATCCTGAGAGGCCTCTGGACAGCAGACTGGGCAGAGTATATTCCACCGGGCAAGGACTCTCCCAGGCGGAGCCCTGCAGGCCTGGCATTTATGAGGAACCTCCCGAGATGTGCAAGAAGGGGCAGTTCTGAAAAGCTGTGAGAAAAGCAGGGTGGAAGTGGGCCAAGCGCCACCCCAATGCTAATATTCTAGGGTAAACTGGGAACTGAGAGGTCACCCAGGCCTGATCCTCCTGGTACATGCTGCCTCCGCCTCTCCAGCTCTCCCACTTCTCTGCAGACCTTCGGGGATGGGGATCTGTCTCCTCGCCAAGGAGCTCATTCCCAGTAGCTTCCCTGTCACCCTTGATGCTGTTTGTGCCCCCAGGAGCCACACAGGACAAGACTATGGCCGGGACAGGTTTGGCTCAGGATAGAGCGTCGGTCTGCAGACTGAAAGGTCCCGGGTTCGATTCGAGGCAAGGGCATGTACCTTGGTTGCGGGCACATCCCCAGTAGGGGGTGTGCAAGAGGCAGCTGATTGATGACTCTCTCTCATCAATGTTTCTAACTCTATCCCTCTCCTTTCCTCTCTGTGAAGAATCAATAAAAAATATGTTATAAAAAAAAAAAAGAGACTATGCCCTCTGCCCACAAGGAGCCCTGCGGGGACTTTAAAGCAGTGTCACTGCCACTTAATGGTCCTTCCCCAAACCTTAGACCTCCTGTGATGACCCCCAGTCCCCAAGACAGCTACACGGTCCTGCAGCCTCCCTCCTTCCCTCTCAGTCCCGTAGCTCGAGTCACACTCTGGCCATCTCTCTGCCGTACCATCCTCTCTGAGCTGGTTTCCTCCCAGCCAGTCCTGCCACCATCTTTGGCCAAATGACCGGAGAGGAGCTGCACAACAGAACAGAAACAGTTCAGGCCTGTGTTCAAATATAGCTCCGTGAGTGACCCGATCCCTCTGAGCCTCCATTTCCCCATCTGAGAACGGGGCAGGGGTGGGGGTGGCTGCCAGCAGCAGCTACTTGGAAGGGGTATTGTGAGATTTCAATGGGGCGTCTGTAAGAAGCCTGGCACAAGGCACAGCAACAGGCATCGACTCAACGAGCTGCTTACAACCCTCTGTCCTCCCCACCGGCTTCAGGATAAAATCCAAACTCGGGGCAGATACTGCAAGCTACCGGCCCGATCTTATCTCCCACTGCCCCGTCCCCAGCCTGCGCTCACCAACTTCCTCCCCCAGGAAGCTCTGCGGACATTAGCAGCTTTCCCCTCCGCTGACCTTACAAAGCCCATCCATCACCTTCCATCACTTGATCCTGTCTTCCCTCCCCCAGCAGAGCAGCAGGTCTCCAGTCAGGAGCCAGCAGCACCTTTGCCCATCTCGTGTCTCCATCACCCCTGCCCACAGACTTTCCCCGTAGCTATTTAACAAGCCACTCTAACGTCCCATTGCAAGTAAAGAATGTCCCAACCTTCCAAAGAGTTCAGGTATTTCAAGCCATACCCCAGAGCAAATTCCAACCTCTGTCCAGTCCTAGGGACTGTCAGGCCTGGCTTTGGTCCCAAAGTATGGAAGGTGAGTCAATAGCCCAGGGGGGAGACCAGAGGCCATTTCTAAGCTTTCTCTGGTGACTTTCTCAGATGCAGAGTTTCTCAGTTGGCCCCTAGGCCTACGATTTCTTACTTCTGATCACACCTTCAACTTGTGATTGCAAAACTGTTCCTTGTGTATGTCGATGGGAAGCTAGCTTTCCATCTTTTCTTGCTTGCTGGCTCCCTCCCTTCACCTATTGATTATCCAAGAGGCCTCTCCCCCTGCTCTGATCATGACGACAGGAAGGTCTGACCACCTGCCAAGAGCCATCCCCATTGCTCAGGACTCCTTCCAGCCTTCCGGCCCCTCCACCCATTTCCCCAGGTTTCTGAATCCCCTCAAAGTCTGGCCTGTAGTGGACTGTCCAGTGGCACCCCCACAAGCTGAAAGTGAACGTCCACCCTGGAGGGCCCCTGTTCTCAGGACCCAGCAAACGCCTCCGGGCCCTGCAAGTTCAAGACACAGTGCTGGACCTGCCCTCGGAGCAGTTAGAACAGCAATGCACAATCCTTCATCTTCCAAGATCTTCTTTCATTACCTACCCCACTCGATTGTTTTAGGATGTCGTTTATGAGCTAACAATTTGCTTTCCATTTTTAAAGAAATTACTCAAAGCCCCCAATGAAAGTCCAATCAGCAATCATATGAGATGGTACCCCCTGCACAGGGCACTAAAGCCAGTGGAAGTCTGAGCCACCCCACTAATTCCCTTACAGGGTATTTAATGAGGACCCCGCCGTGTGTCCCAGGCTCAAAAACCCATACACACACGCAGTTTCCAAGAGGATTCTGCAGTCCTGACCCTGGGGCTGGGGTACCTAGAGCAGCCATAAGCTCAGCACTGAGGACTGCTGATGAGTCAGTCACACAGGAGGACGCTGAGATGTCAGTGCCTTGGCCTTACAGCTCTCATCACCCCAAGGGCTTCCATCCCGGGCCCCACCTCTGCCCCCTGCTGATCTGAAAGTGACCTGGTCTAATGGAGATGAAAGCCACTGCGCTCCCCTGGGTGCTGGGAGAGGTCTGTTGACAAAGCCACCAGCTGTCCCAGGCCAAAGCCAGGGCGACGGGCTCCTCCCTGCACCACCCAGACTGGGAGCGTGTTCCCGCCGGGGATCCTGGCAGCAACAGAAACTGGACCGTCAAAGAGCTCCAGGCCCAGGCTCCAACCGCGTTCCCCTCCTGCTCCAGCTGTCCACAGCGAGGACCAGGGCAAAAGACCTCGCCCGCACCAGCACCGCCAGAAGGAGCATCACTTGGGGGTAAGGGGCGTGGGGAGAGGGAGCAGGTGTCCTCCTAATTTCAACTGAAAATGAAACTGTGAGTTCAGTCATAGCAGGACCTTACAGGGCCCTGTTAGTTGGGACTCAGGCTGGGGGAGGGGAGTCAAGTCCAAGTTCCACTACTTCCCACCTACTTGATCTTTGCCATTCTGTGCCTCAGTTTCCCCCTCTGTAAAATGCGATTAATAGTAATGTCAAAGAATTAAATGAGATCCCATAGGTAAATCAACTAGCCCCGTGTCTGGCCCGTACTAAGCATGCAATAAGTACTTGTTGAATATAGACAAGCCACTGTTCTTATTCCATCCTTATTCTGGCAGATACTACATTGTGCCCATTTCACAGGTGAGGAAACTGAGGCTAGGAGAAGGTAAGGAACCAGCCCAAGGTCACATAGCTGGAAAGTGACATTCACCCAGGTCAGTATGAACCCCAGACAAGGGGCCAATACTACCCCAGGCCATTCCAAATGGTATTTCTTTTTCAGGGGGTGGAGGGGGTGGCAAAGGGGAGGAAGACCAGCACAGGGGCGTGACTGGAGTATATCTCCTCACCCTGGCATGGCTCCCGGCTGACCCAGGTGCTCAAATCTGGGAGAAAGCCGGGAGGCCGGTCCCCAGACTCCCCGCCTGTCCCAGCACCCACGCGCCCCTCGCGCCCACGGGCGCCCCCTCCTCACCTGGTCCCCGGGTGTCACAGGGCAGCGTTCAGACGGGCGCTCCTGGCTCCTGAGGACCTGCGGGGAGAGGGGAGCTGGAGCTCGGGCCGCTCTCAGCCCGGGGAAAACCGGTCCGGCCGCCTCAGCCTTCCCGAAGCGGGGACCCGGCCCCTAACCCCCTCCCTCGCCAGACAAAAGTTTCCCCTGTTTGGGAGCCGGGGAGGGGGAGGGGGCATTCCTCGTGAGTGACATTATGCGTGACCTACAGCTGCCGCGCTGCCCTCCGCGCACCCCGGCCCGGCCCGGGCCCCGCGCAGCCCCCCGCCCTTTGTCCTCCCTCCCCGGGCGCGGGGCCCGCCGCCCGCCCGCCGCACCGAACTCGCAGCGGGGCCGCCGGGGCGCCGCGCGGCCTGCACGCCCGGCTCGGGCCCCGCCGGCTGGGCGACCGGGGACCGGCCGGTTCCGGTCTCCGGGCCTCCTACCTGCCGCGGCGGGGCGCTACCCGGGCAAGGGGGCGCTCCGGGCGGGCCGCCGGGCGCCGGGGTCCCCCAGCATGGCGAGCGCCGCGGGGATCGGCCCGGCCGGCTTAACCCCTTCGCGGCCGGCCCGCCGCTCCCGCCCCCGCCCCGCGCCGCCGCCGCCGCCCCGCCTCCGAGCTCTCCTCCCCGCTCCTCCCCGGCCCCTCCCGCCGCTCCCAGCCCCCATCCCGGCCCCCCGATCGGCGCCGGGGCCGTCACAGCCGCCACTCCTCCCGCGACCGCGAGGCTGGGGTCCCCCTGGAGACGGGAAGTTGGGGCGATCTCCCTCGCCCCCGCGGACCCGCGGAGCACAGACCGGAGAGCTCGCCGCCCGGGCCCCCAGCCCCGATCCTCGTCCCCCTCCGGCCCGGCGCCCACCTTCCCGGGCCGCGGCGGGGGAGCGGCTCGATCCGTGACGAAGCGGGGCGCCGGGAAGACCGGCTCCGGGGCGGCGGCGGGGTGCGGGGGCGCCCGGGGCGGGGGCGGGGGCGGGCGGGACCCCGCGGTGCTCTCGGGGCTGGATCTCTCCGTTTCCACCCGGATTCTCCCTCGGCGCTCCCGGCCGATTCGGTGCTGCTCGGCGACCACGTGACGCTGCTGCCTTTGACCCCGGCCTCGGAGCGGGTAGGGGGCGGGGGCCGGGGGGTGTCAGATGCGGCACCCACGAGGACGGGGGGCGGCTGCCCGGCGTCCCGAGGGCGGCGACCCCGAGGAGACAAATCCAGGGGGAAACCAACAAGTTATTCGGGGTCAAAGGGAGAACAGCGCTCGGGGGTCGGAGATGCTTCAGCGAGAACCTGGGAGACAAAGACCCGCGTCGTCCGCCGCGCCTCCGAGGGGCCTCGGCTCCGCGGCCACCGAGCTTAGGACAACCGCCCTGGGCCTCGTCTCAGGGCGCCCCGACATCCACGTCTCTGCTGGAGGGACCCTCCTGGGCAGGCCTTCCATCCCCCACCGCGCACCCCGCTCCCCACCTTTGCCCTGACTCCAGCGTGATTATCTGGTTCATGTACTGGTTTCGCTGTTACCAAAATGTCATCTCCCCCAACAAGTTGTTCCCAGATGAATCCCCGGGGCCTGGCACACAGCGGGCAGATGGAGAGGTGGATGACCTTGTGCCAATCTCCTCTCCCACTGAGTCTCAGTTTCCCACTCCCGGTGTTATTTCAGCCATCGCCACAACCCTGCGCGGGCAAGGTTACAGAGCCCGCCCTCAGCAGACAGATGGGACGACTGGGCCCTGGGATGAGATGGGATGAGATGACTTGTGGGAGTCTCCCATGTAGCCTGCACTCAGATCGGCCTGCTCCAGACCTCAGCTTTCTCCCTCAGGGACTCGGCCTGTAAAGGGGGCGTGGGGAGAGCCTTAAGGGGCTTGCTTTGCTAATATGTAGACCATCAGGCCCCTCCTTCCCCCCCCCTCCCCAACATGCTGATTCCAGGCAGGTCTGGAATGAGGTGGGGCATATTTGGAAAACAGCGCATTGGTGATTTCCTAAGGACCTTCAGAAGCTCAAGATTTTCTAACTGTAGAAGCAAAGCTCAAAAACATCAGCAACCAGAACAGAGCAAAGGGAGGTAGAGAAGCCAAGTTTGACCGTGAGAGCAAAATAGACTCATCCTGGTGCCCCCAAAGGGTAATGTCCTGTAGTGAGGGGGAAGGGTATTCAGCCAGCCCACTTATGTCTCAGGGGAGGGGCTGGGGGATGGGACCAAGCTTCTGACTCCCAGAAAGGTCCACGTGACAGCTTTGGACTTAGTGTAATCAGACAGGACACAGCCTAATGGCAGCAGCCACAAGCCTAAATTGCAGGCCATCTTCAAAGATAGGTTTGTGACTTCTGGTACATACTCCCACCACCCCAGCAGGATGACTAGGGAAATCAGCATCCACCAGCAAATTCTCCTCATAAATCCATGTTCCTGCCCAGCCAGCCAGCATAGCTTGTTGAGCATTGACCTATGAACCAGGAGGTCACGGTTCAATTCCCCGTCAGGGCACATGCCTAGGTTTCCAGCTCAATCCCGTGTGGGGCATGCAAAAGGTAGCCAGTGATTCTCTCTCACCATTGTTTCTTTGTCTCTCTCTTCCTTCCTCTCTGAAATCAATTTTATATATATATATTTAATCCATGTTCCTGTAGTCCATAACTGGTCCTTGAAGATGGTCTGGCTCTTAGATAAGCTAAGCAAGGCCCTAGAATCTTACTCATTCATAGCTCTGCTTTGGAAGACCATTTCCATCTGCATGAGGCCCTGTGAGCACCTTCTCTGTGCCCAGCACTGTGCTCCTGGCCAGGAGACGCAGCGTGTAGAGAGACATGGGTTTGGAGATGCTGTGTATGTCCCTCCCGGCATCCAGAGACGATCGGAGCTGAAGGCACGCTGGGGACCCCCAGGGCAAGTGCTAAGGCCCGCAGTAAGGGAAGCAGAATGAGGGAGTTTTGGGGGGTGGGAGGGAGACAGCCTCTGACCAGGAGCAAGAAGAATGGGTGGGATTGGGATAGGGAGATGGACATTCTTGACACATGGGACAACCTGTGCTAAGGCCACATGGAGAACACTCTGGAAAAGTTGAGTGTCGAATGGACGTGTGTGTGTGTGTGTGTGTGTGTGTGTGTGTGGCAGGGTGAGAACAGCAGAGGAAGCAGGAAGGAAAGCATGAGAAAGAAAACTGGACAGGAGGGTTAGGAACAGATTGTGAGCGGCCTTGTGTGAGGTGCTCTGCTCACTGGATTATCTGAGGGCCTCCCTGGTGCAGTGAGGAGAGTGGTAGCTGGCAAAGGGAGTGGTAAGAGCCACCATGTGGGAAGGTAGAGAGGAAGGAGATCACCTGAGATGCTGTATCTTACCAATGGAGCTGCAGGTCCACTGTTTTGGGGAGCACCTATGAGTGGGGTGACTCCCTTGTCACTAATGGCTCTTCCTATTCTTTTCAAGTCTTCAGAGTTGCTGTTGCCCAAGGCCGTCCAGCTCACTGTCACCCAGAAAGCCTGTGAGAAGGCGAGGCCAAGGCCCCGCCCCAGGAAATGGCCTCCATGGGTCTGGTTGAAGCCAAGGACTTGCATTTCTAACCACACCTGGGAGGTTCAGCAGAAGACTGTCCTGCCCCTCCTTTCCCTCAGCACCTGTCCATACCTCCCAGAGCTTTGGGGGCCTTCATGCTGACAGCCCCCCCTACCCAAACTCTCTTCTCAGCCCTAAGCCCCCCCATCCCCCCACTGCCCACTTGACACTCCCCTTTGACTGTCCCAAGGGCACCTTTCTCCAACTCCATAAGGCTAAGGCTGGACTCATTATCTTCTCCCCTCCTCCTGGGTGCCCTTTCACACATGTAGTCCAGAGATCTGACTCCAGTCCCTGATCCCCACATCTTTTCCACCAGCCAGTCCCACAGTTCAGCCTCCAGTTTTTTCTCTAACCCAACTTCAACTCTTCGTCACTGCCACCCTTGTCTGAGCTCCATCTTGTCTTTGCCTTGCATTAATGTCTTGTCTTAATGACCTCTTAAATACTCTCCTACCTCCCGCTTTGCCCATTCTTTTTTTTAAAATGAGTTTTTTTGTTTTTGTTTTTAAAGAGGAAGGTAGATAGAGGGAGAGAGATGGGGGAGAGGGGGGAGCATTGATGTCAGAGAGAAACATCCATTGGTTGCTTCCCATATGAACCCTGACAGGGGATAGAGCTCACAACGGGTGTGTGTGTGTGTGTGTGTGTGTGTGTGTGTGGGTGTGGGTGTGGGTGTGTGCGCACCCCCTGACCAGGAAGCTACCTTTCAGTGCACAGGATGGTGCTCAACTGATTGAGCCACACTGGCCAGGGCCCACATTTCCCGTTCTAATTTACTTGTGCCTGTTTCTTAAAACCACCAACAGCTCCCCATTACTCTGCCTTGTTGTCCAGTCTCATCTCTTTTCCTAAATGGTCTACACCCCCTTCACCTTTACCTAATTCTTTGTGAAGAGTGTGGACTCAAGCCAGACTGTTTGGGTTTGAATGCTGGCTTTACCACTTACAAGCTGTGTGACCTTGGGCCAGTTTTTCAACCTTCCTGTGCTCAGTTTCCTGGCCTCTAATGCAGGAATAATAGTATGCACTTCATAGGGCTGTTGTGAGAATGAAATGAGCTAAATATGTAATACCCTCAGTGTGGCCCTGGCCACGTAGTTTAGCTGGTTAGAGCATCATCCTGATATGCCAAGGTTGCAAGTTCAATCCCCGGTCAGGGCACATATAAGAATCAACCACTAAATGCATAAATAAGTAGAACAACAAATCTGTTTCTCCCTTCCTCTCTCTCTAAAATCAACAATAAATTTTTAAAAATGTGTTTAAGTTGTAGAACCTTCAACATGCTATCACGTGATAACACTGCCTGCGTTTGAATGCTGCCTGGGTTTTCCTCATGTTTCCTTACACCCCTAATCCAGGCCATGCTTCCTGGCCCACGCGTCACATCTGCCTCTTCATCACCCTTTAGCTACGTGTCGGCTGCCTGTCTCTCCAAAGCGCAAACTCCGTGTAGAGAGGACCATGTTTATCACAGTGCCAGGTGCAGGGCAGGAACCCGCTCACATCGCCTGACTATACTGGCGCGATGAATGTCAGCAGATTAGGCATAGAACAGAGGACACTGCTTTTCTACAAAATACCCGTCAGTGGCATTTTATTCATTTATTCATTCATTCATTATGGCCCTGTCCTCAGAGACAGCCATGTAAATGAATCAGAAGCTACATTGCAGTGTAACTGTTGTTATAATGATCTGCAACAATTTCGTTTCCCAGGAGGTCTTTGGAACCATGGAAGGAAAAGTAACTGAAAGCAAGCAGGGCTGTCTATTTGGCCGGCACCCCCGGTTTCCAGCAGGGAGGTCTGTAGAGCAAGAAGGGTGGTCTGCTCCCCAGGGCATGCGGGCCATCTACTCTCTCCAAGACCTCCTATTCAGCCTTCAGGGCCCCACGTAAGCAGCATTGTCTCCGGAAGTCTTCCTGCTCCTGCCAGGGCTCTGAACTGCCCGATCCTGGCTCTAATGATTTTTTGGGACTATAGTGAGATTTGTCAAGGAGAATCCAAATTGCACGTTGTTCCCTTCTTTAAAAAAAGTAAAAGGTGACTGAATGAACGTGTAACTACATGTTATTTCGTGTTGGACTTCAGTGGAGGTAGAAAAATAGACCTCCGTCAGACCATGTGATCTGATTGTGGTTTGGAGAACATGGTCACCGTAATTACAACATTGACCACATGGTGTGAGCGCTCTCTCTCTCTCTCTCTCTCCCTCCTACCCTCCCCCTTCCCTCCTTCCTCCCTCCCTTTCTCTCTAAAATCAATTAAAACAAAATTACTTACTCTGGAGCATGCCATACGCTTTCCCTTTGTTACTTGGCAGCATGAAGCTCAGAGAGGTGAGGCAAATTCCCCCAAGTCACCCAGACAAGAGCGGTAGAGCGGGTCTCAAACCCAGACCCATCCATCCAACTACAAGACGAAGTTCTCGTCACTATTTGACTACCCCTCAGGGTCCAGGTGTCATGAGGTCCCACCTGGCTCTGTGCTTGCTCCCCTGCTTCCACGGGGCTCCCTTCTCGCCCTCCCCCCTGCACACCCGCTGTCAGCAACGCCACTGCGTTCCTGAGCCCTGCAGCTGGTTTCCAGAGCAGCCCCATCTCTGGGGCCAGGCTTCCTGTTTCAGCAGAATCTGAGGATGTGTGTCACACCTTCCCGGCCACCCTTACTCCCAGGAGCTGCCGCTTGGCCAGACTCTGCCGCACAGTCCCTCCCGGGGGCAGCACTTTTCCTGTTGTTTTTTATAAAGCATTTTCCAATTCCATACACCAATCCCTGGGGACTCTGCAGCAGTCCTGAGAGGTGGGTTACAATAGAGGATTTCACCCCATTTTACAGATGAGAAAATGGAGGTTCAGCCAATCTATGGGAAATCCCCTCACTTTGCAGGAGAGCCGAGCCGTGCCTATACACATTTCGGGCCACCTGCCCGCATTCTTCCAAGTGTCTGGAGGGTGCAACTGGACCAAGAGAACAGGGATGGGGCATCTTTAGAATCCTCACACTGAGGAGATAATGGCTTTTGCAAACAAATGTAAATCACTTAATTCCCCTTTTTATGGTGTTCATTGTGATGCACCAATTACAACCTGGCAAAGAAAAACACTTCGAAGCCCCGTGTGGTCTCTAAATGATGTGACAGCAATCAGCTCAAAGTCCTCTGGGGCAGGGCGGGGCAGGGCAAGGCCAAGTTCAGCCCCAGCGTCAGTATAGCAGGTGCCTAGGGCCAGAGGGGGACGAACTTTCCCAGACCTCACAGCTGCTACTCAGAGGGCTCTGCCCTAACCCTGCCCTCACCCCAGGCCATGTCTCCTCCCCTCCTCCACCATCTGACCTCCTCATTCTTCATTCTTTCACTCGATCACCTGGAGTGAGATACTTTCAACAGCACTCAAATCAAAAGATTATATTAGCCCTAGCTGGTTTGGCTTAGTGGATAGAGCATCAGTCTGTGCACTGAAGGGTCTCAGGTTCGAATCCGGACAACAGCACATGACCGGGTTTCGGGCTCGACCCCCAGTGTGGGGTGTACAGAAGGCAGCCAATCAATGATTCTCTCTCATCATTGGTGTTTCTATCTCTCCCTATCCCTTCCTCTCTGAAATCAATATATATATATGATTATATTATTAATCTAGCCCTGGCTATTGTCATTCAGTGGTTAGAATGTTGGCCTGCGAACTGAAGGGTCATGGATTGGATTTTCAGTTAAGGTAAGGAACCTGGGTTGCAGGTTCAATTCCCAGACACATGCCTCTCTCACATAATGTTTGATCTCCCTCTCTCTCTCTCTCTCTCTCTCTCTCTCTCTCTCTCTCTCTCTCTCTCCCCCCCCCCTTTTCTTCCTCTCTACCCCTCCCTCCCTTTCACTCTAAAAAGCAATCGAAAAAATATCCTCAGATGACGACTAATAAAAAAAGATTATATTAATTATTAATTTTTAAAAAGGGGTGGGATTTCTCGACAAGATTCCCACGATTTTTTTAGTTCGTTCTCACACTCCCATGGGGTAGGAGGTAGGCATTACAATCCCTACTTTCTAGTTCAAGAAACGGAGGCTCAGGGTCCTGGTACCTCCACAGCAGAGGTCCAGAAAAAGCCCACCAGTGAAGCAGAAAGGGATTGGGGGGGGGGGTCACCTGGTCTGGGGGTTGCTGCCCACTCAGTCCTCTGTGGCCACTAGTCCATACACACACATCCAGCCCGCTTCGTTCATTTGCATTTTTCTACTGAGCCCCCTTTCGTCTTAGTTTAGGATTCCAGAAAGAATTCAGTGAGCAAACCAAGGCCCAAGAAGGAGCAGGGGGAGAAGCAGTGCCCCCATCACAATGACAGAGCTGAGCGAGGACAACTGGAAAGGCCCCTGCCAGTCACCCTGCCCCACTGCCCCTGCGTCTGCACATCAGAAGCTGAGGAGTTGGCACTGGCGAGGCAAGGACCACCGGGGCCAAGTCTAGATGCCATTCCCGGACCCTTGGAGATGTGCCAGCATGAGGGGCTGGGAGGGGGGAAGTGCTGGCTCCAAGGGGGAATTGGCTCTGGGATTGGCCTGGTGGCCAGACTCTTGTCTGGGGCTATCTGCTCCAACAGGCACGGACATTCTTATCATTCCAAAGGTCCTCCATTCATACCCACCTGTCTGGACTGGGACTGTCCTGAGATGGAGCTGGAGTTGAGGGAGAGAAGAGTGAGGGAGACAGAAGGGATATACCATCCCCCACCCCTCCCCCTGCAACAGCACAATTTACACTCATATACCACCCCATGCTCACCCCACACACAGCACAATTACTCATATACCACCCCACACTCACCCCCCACATCACAATTACCCTCATATACCACCCCATGCTCACCCCACACACAGCACAATCACACTCATATACCACCCCCACGCCCACCCCCCACACAGCACAATTACACTCATTCACTCATATGCTGTGCACACACTCACCACCCCCACCTCCCTCCTCTGAGTGATTAAGAGCTTTGGAGCCAGACTGTCCTGTGTTGGAATCCAGAGTCAGCCCTCACTCATGGTCACTTAACTTGGCTTCAACTGTTTACTTGGAGAGTGGGGATAATAGTACTTACCTCAAAGGGTGGTTGAGAAGATTAAATGAGAAGCCACTTAGCACCATGCCTGGCATAACTATAGTCATTACTGTCATTTTATCCAGCACTCCTCTATTGTACACACACACACACACACACACACAGAGGCTAATGCCCATCGATCCTCAGCCAGATGACCCCCTCAGAGACCTATCACCCTCTGATCCCTCCACTCCAGGCAGCCTGGGGCCCTCACGGTCTGGGTATGTGCCAGGTGTGCCCAGCATCCCCTCTTCCCAGAATGCCCTCACTGCCATCTCTTCACAACTGCCCCCTTCCCTTCAAGCCCCAGCTTCAGGGCCTTCTCCTCCAGGAAGCCTCCCAGATTGCCCTCTGATTTCCTCCACAATTGCTGAGCCTCTGAGTGAGTCATTGCCACTTGGTAATGAGACTCTCATGCTGGCAGCGAGAAAGCCTCTTCCTTCTTCCTCCCCAGAGTCTCTTAAAAATTAAAAAAAACAAAAAACAAAAAAACACTTCCCAGGAAGCTTTGGGGCACCTTAAACCGACCTCCTGATTCCTGTGTCACCCCGAGTCCTAGTAACTGTAGTCACCCATCATCATACATCTTCCTGGAGTTGGAAACAGGGCAGGGTGTAGAGGGCCTGGGGGACAGGCCAGCTGCCCAGTGGACAGACAGGATCAATGACAAACTGGGAGAAGCTGGCGGGACCCTCAATCCATTGTTGGGGTCCCAGGAACAGTTCTGCTGAGGGATGATGGGGAATGGAGAGAGTCCTCTGGAGCTGAGGGTCCCTGGTGAGGGAGGTGTCCCCGAAACGCTCCTGTATCAAAGGTGCTGAGGTTTGCCCTGCAGAACTCCCCACCTTTCATAGGGAGAGGGAAGCAGATTTCCGCTCCCCATGAAAGGTGGCCCTGGAAGGTGCTCGGGAGCCAACCACGAGGTTGGAAGAAGCTTCAGGAAGCAGATCCCACACACCGATGTGGGGAAATTCATAGCAGTCCAGAAGCCCAGCAGCTTCCGGGGCAGCCACTTCTCCACAGGGTGACAGTGGGTGAAGGGAAGGGCAGGCAGACGCAGTCAGCGGTGGAGGATCCCTGTGTTGGGTGGGAATAGGACCAGAACTCTTCTCAGATTTTCCCAGCTCTGAGAGTAACTGTCTAAAATTCAATGTCGTAAAGATCTGGAAATCTGGGTTTAAAATTCTGACCCTTTAAAGTTCTGAAATGTGGCTCTGGATGGATAGCTTAGTTTGTTGGAACGTCATCCTGATATGCCAAGGTTGCAGGTTCGATCCCTGGTCAGGACACATACAAGGCTCAATAAATTAATGAATAAATAAGTGTAACAAACCAATGTTTCCCTCTCTCTCTCTCTCTCCCTCTCTCTCTCTCTCTCTCTCTTCCTCTCTATCTGAAATCAATTTTTTAAAAAATGAAGTTCTGAAATGCCACACATGAAATTTATTTTTAGTAGATATGTTTTAAAAAGTTAAAAGGAACAGGTGAAATTAACTTTAATAATATATTTAACCCAATTTACCCCAAATATTTTCATTTCAACATGTAATTAATATAAAGAAACAGTGAGAAGCTTTCAGTTCTTCCTTTTGTACTAAGTTCTCCAGACCCTCTGTGTACCTGACCCGCAGCACAGTCTGGCTCAGGCTGGCCACATTTCAGGCGATCAGTGGCCACACATGGCTGTGGCTGCAGTGTTGGACTGCACAGTTTAGAAACCTAAAATCTATGACTCACTTTCTTAAAACTCTAGGAAGCTGTGCCTCTGAGATTCTAGAAGTCTGTGGCACATTAAGCGTCTGTAATGCTATAACTGTGATTCCACCAGATTAAAATGTTTCCCAGAGTCTGCTTGTGGGTAAGTCTTCTCCCCACGTGTTTTTCATGTGGAAAGAAATCCAGGCCCCTGCAGAGCCCCTGGGAGGTGAGGGAGCAAGGAGCCCACCCCCCAGCTGTCCCCACCATCTGGCCCAGCCCGGGAAAGCCGTGCGGGCATGCCCTATGCCTGGGTGCTGGCCTGTCCCTGTACAGCAGCCTCGCCAGTCATCCCTCCAGCTCGTCATCTCTCCATCCAAGCGCTGAGCCTGGAAGTGAGAGTCCTGCCTTTGAGTCCTCCAGGGAAGGGGCATGCCCTCCCTTCCTCCCTCCGTCCCTCACTTCCTCCCTCCCCGGTGTCTGTCCACTCTGGAGAGCCTCTGAGGGAGAGCTTCGGAGGACGGCTGCAGTAGATGGAGCTGGAAGTGCGGTTAAGCCCACGTGGAGTCCCCTGCGGGTGGAAATGGTCTCCATTTGCCGGAAGCTACAGCCTGGAGGGCAGAAGTCAGAGA